GTCTGGCCTCATACAATCCGCTCCCACCTTGCCTGTTCTCACCTGGTCCTTTTTATGAGATCTGGTCCCGTGCAGTCCCGCTCGCTCCCGTCTTGTCCCGTCCCGTCCCACCTAGGCCCATCCAGTCTCATTCAGTCCCATCCGTCTCCTGTGGCCGCAGCGTTGCCCACATTGCATTCCAGTCGTCAAGTCCCGATAATTTTCCTGTTCTAAATCACTTGGCTACTGCTGTGTTTACTTATCGCTTTTATCTTTGCCCTGCTAAGGTTTTGCATTCCGACTTACTCCAAGCAGGCATATTATACCTGCGACATGTCACGTGGTACAGTGAGACATTTGCTGCGTTGACCCCGTTTTCATTCAGCCTTGACTTTCGTACCGTCGATTTTTTGTATTTTGCTTTTTTATCCGACTTGTATCCCCGTCGACTTTTATCCGTTTCGACTTTATGTCGTTTGATGTTTTGCCATTCGACAACGAGGTGAGCGAGGAATGACCGACCGAAGATGCGAGTATATCTGCTTTGAATGTCCAAAATGAGCTGAAACGATATGTGCAAAAGATGAGCACACTACTCCGGCACACAACTTCTTAGCTGAGGTACTTGCGTTGCTTATCACAACCGTATCATCTTGATCCCTTAAGCATGCCTTGCCTCACTAAGCAGAATTGACAAAACAAATACAATAAGAATTGCTATCCACTCGCAAATAAGAAAGGCATGATTTAATGGCATTCCTTTTTAAAGTCATGCTGACTTTCCCCCACCGGAACATACGGCACGCACGCGTGGTGCCCTGGGAACTGCGTCACATTGCCGCGGCGCGAATACTGACAAGAGATGACAGCAAATGATTGGCACCATTGGCTCCAGGTATCGTTGTCGTCACTCATGATTGCCATTCGGAGCGATGCCATCCTAATATATGTTTTAGCTATTGAGGAGTATAGGAGCAAAAGAACACTCAGGCGGAGCAGCGATTCACCTAGAATTGATGATACCAGGCGTAAACGTCTGTAGGACTTTTCACCGACGGCAAAAATGTGTGTGAATACATGTGTCAACAAAACGTTTTTTACAATAACATGCGGCTGTCGGCTGCAGGCTTAACCAATGCCAACGGTCGCGAGCTTTCATGGCTGCAGGGACCGTGCTCAGACCAGACGAGATTTTAATGAGCGCACCCGTGCGTGGCTGATGTGACGTTTTTGTTAAATGCCGCAGAAAGGCAATTCGTCTGCCCGAGTGGTGCTCAGCCGGAGCCGGCGAGATGACTCAGCAGCGGTGCCGCCGTCTGGTGGCCGCCGCCGCAGGCTCGGCGATGCGCCCCCGGCGACTCTTCCCGGTCTAGCCAGCGATCAGCCGTTTAATGAATTCGTAATCCCCGAGTCGGGCGAGCGCCGCCAAAGTCATCAAACTGGGACGGCCGGCCGGCCGCGGCGCGCCCCGGCGGACCGGCTCGGTCCGCCGCCCGCCGCTCCCTGCAGCTGAAGACTCTGTAGCGGTCTGTCTCCGGACCTGGAGGCGCTCAAAGAAAGTCGCTGGTATCGGTATCTGGAGGCGGTGCAAAAGTCAGCTGTTCTTGTACACAGTGTTCTAGATGCTGCCAAATTCCCCAGCTGCATGTGATAAAGCATCTATCGAGTCCGGTGTTGTTCCGTCCAATGGCAAGTTGGGTTCTGTCTTTCCAAACGCATAATTCGACGAATTCCGACGATTCAAACAACTCAGACCCATTGCGACCCGGCTGACTGCTGTGAAGTTAACCGAGCGCGTTGTGTGTAATGTGCCAGTGTAATTTTTGGGCGGCCACCACATACTTCGTTAACAACAGTGCGGAATTACACCCGAACACTATATTTAGGTGAACGTGTTCGACGCCATGATGTATCGTCCGGAAACAAAGTAATGAGGGAAAGGCTTTATCCATGACGTCTGTTGATGCTTTTGAAGCTGTTGGCAATATCGAGCACGGTCGGCTGCCGGAGAAGCACAGTTAGTTTGACATCAATACTGACTGGTTCCGAATTTGGCTCAGCGACCTTAGCGGCGCGATGGCCATGAAGTGTTGCGAGGGACCAACGGCGCGGAACAGGAGTCAATGCTGGGACCGGGCTTATTTTTATAATTAGCTAGCCACATACCATTTCATATTACCGGCTTCAAGATTGTTATGTAAGCATGCGATGCTCAGTTTATTCCTGCCCGTGACGCAAACTTCAATTCAGCTGAAGGATGTGATTGAACCAGTTTGACCGCAACCGACCCTCGGTTTGTTCAAAATAGTTTTGAGATAAACCCCACGAGAACTGATGTTATCAGTGCCCGCTCCGATCAGCCACGCTTTGTGGGGTCGTTCTCTGTCCGTTTTGATGGCTCCGACATTCAATCTCCTGAGGATCGTGACCATGTCGTGAAAAAACATTTAAGTCGGGAAGCATACGTTCCAGTGTCATAAAACAATCCTGTGCCTGCAATTTTGACACTCCAAGACGTTTGCACGAATTAATGAAAAATTCAAACGGGACATGATTCAGACACTAATTTTTCCTTATTTGCAACGTTTTGTGGCATCTGAGAATAAACGTAAAAAGTGACATTTATACCCTGATGTTCTAAAAGTGAACGTGAAGTGAAGACTGAGACATTGCTTAGTGGCACGTTCTTAACAATCTTGCGCGCATAAGCAAGTGTGTTCATCTACATGCTCCTTTTCCTCACATTCTGGCTTCATTGAGATGGCTAAGAGTTGGTTAGCTATTGTTCAAACGTGACGCGTCAGCAGCGCTCAAAATTTCGCATCATGCCCAATCGCCGGCATCATCAAAACAGCGCGTGCTGTCTTGGGAAGCAGCATGACCTAGCGGGCTTGAGGAACCGCAGCACGCCGTCTGCGTCTGTCCGAGGTGCGCACAGAGAGACCTCGACGGGACCTTGTCTTCCAAGCTACGTCAACATGGCACAGCTGTCATGTACACGGAGGTGTGCGAGCCAGCAGCCAACATGGCACAGCTGTCATGTACACGGAGGTGTGCGAGCCAGCAGCCAACATGGCACAGCTGTCATGTCACGTACACGGAGGTGTGCGAGTCAGCAGCCAACATGGCACAGCTGTCACGTACACGGAGGTGTGCGAGCCAGCAGCCAACATGACATAGCTGTCACGTACACGGAGGTGTGCGAGCCAGCAGCCAACATGACATAGCTGTCACGTACACAGAGGTGTGCGAGCCAGCAGCTCTCGTTGCCTGCATGCGGCGACTGCGGCCTTTATCACAACAGTTCTCTACGTGCTATTGACGTCTTGTAAGTCTAATTGGACTGATTAGAATTACTGTTGTTTGCTTCGTATTTTCTGTGGACATCTAATTCTGCAAGCCCGCGACTCTTGATAAAAAGCCGCTGTGTTGAGGTTAGTAGAACGCATGATGATGATTAATCCATGCCACCGGTCCCCACTTGTGTGTTTTAGGAAAGTGGTCGACCTTTGGTTCACCACGCTGACGGGCTGCAATGACGACTTTCACTTGTTCATTTAAACCATTGCCAGGAGGGCAGCTCTGTCCACCGAGACGCCTGCGCCTCTGACGCTTCCTGTCTTGCAGAAAGACGAACAGTCAACAAATGACGGGCACATGATCGACGAGTGACCGATGATCAGACTATGGATGACCGAGCCTGGCGTCCGTCAACGCCAAATGTCCCGTCGCGCATTAGCCAATCCCATCGACCATCGATCGGAGCTTAGTGCTGGGCAGAGCTGGGCGTCCTGCTGAAGCTGCCAAACTGACGGCCCCAGTCGATGATGGCGTCTGGCAGCTCGCGGTCAGAGTTCGACGGAAGCAGCGAGTGGCCTGGCTTGTACAACATTTCGAGGCCCGCGGAGATCGTCATCTGTCAGCCCCGGTCGGCTCGGAAAATACTCAGTGTCAGGTTCAGCTCAGTGTCGGGTTCAGCTCAGTGTCGGGTTCAGCTATTGTGGGAGAGCTTCCATGAGTTTGCGCACCACAATCACGGTGGAATAGCTTATGGGAACTGCGTGAATATGGCACTCGTAGATCTTCAATTTAGGACTATTTTTTGCTAATTTGTGTTGTTTTCAAGTATAAAAGTTTAAACCACTTAGTGATGTCATGGTGAGATGGCCAAGTCGTCTGCCGGGTTTTCGCATTGACGGGTAAGGCGCGTGGCAAAGTTAGCTATATCTGAACTTCGCATGTGTTAGGTACCTTCATGCCGGGTTCAATGAACCATATTCACTATTAACCTTATTTATGTGGGTATTAGGGGTAAAGGAAATGCGATTGCATCTTGCGCTCCTAGGACGTTTCTATGGATGACGAGTCAAACCAAATTGGACAGATTTTTGCCGTAAGTTGTCCGCCAATCTAGCATTTCGTGCATTTTTAGATGAGTCATAGTCCCCCAGGCTCCTCAAACACTCAACAGGGCGTGCCTCTTAATTCGGGGCCTTTCAACCTGCCTCTCCGTAGCTCAGTGCGCATGCCGTTAAAATTGGCTGCACTGATTCGTTTGCAACAACTTGCAGGGAACTTGGTGAGTTGGATTCGGAGTCAGCGGGGGCTGAAAGAGCATTCGGCGCGGTTCTAACTATACAGAAGATGACATCGGCAGATCGAATTTAGAAATACCATTCATTGTTTCAGCGGCAGACATTTCGTTCTCATCTATCAACGGTGGTTATCTTTGTAAAATCTCTCAGCTTCCTCGCACAGGGTGTTTGGTGACGAAGAGACGTAGCCCGAGGGGCGTCGTTGGTAACCCCTCAACCAGCCCAACAACGCAGCGCGTCCTTCTGCCGGCAGCTGGTCGCGGCGGAGGTCGCTGGCGGCTGACCAGCCGGCGGTGGAGCCGCTCGGCGCTGGCGGTGACGTCACGCCTGCGGGTGCGCTGCTGGTGATCCGGAGTGCGCGGCCCCGTCACACCTGGCTGGTACTCCTGCCGGGCGGAGAGCCCCGCCGGCCATGCCACCGCTGACGTCTTCTTGGAGGTGCAGGTGAGGCTGGCGCGAGGTGGCCGATGGGCTCACGGTTGTTGGCAGTGACGGGGGGCGATGGGCCGGGCCCGGACGGCTGGCGGCCGATCAGTCGCCGCGGACGAGCCCGTCGCCTTCCGCGCCTGTTGGTGACACGCTCGTCAGAGGTATGTGGCTTCACTGCGCCACTTCCTGTGACTGGTGCCATTTTGCATGGCTTGAAGCATGACGGAAACAGCAAGCTGATGATTAAGTACGGAAATTTAACGACATATTCCACGTCTAAGGTGATTTAGCGTTGCCATCTCTCGCCTCGAGTGCCTTGGATACGACGAAACTTGTGTTCGGTGGCCTGGCGCGGGCAGAATGCAATATTGGATGCAATGTGCTGCAAAATCCTGTCGTGATACAGCTTGACTTGAGCATCAGTATAACGCCACCAGGGTAGGTCGTCCTCGTGAATGATTGCGATGTAGGTCTGAATTCGTGTGTGATATCGATGACCCCCTTACGCGGTGAGGAGGAGAGTGCGCAGCTGTCCGCTGCAGACCAGCCGGTAGGTCTGGAGAGGCCCCGTGTGGTCAGGCACGGCCGACAGCAGTCCCGGCACTGGGAAATGAGCTGCAGCCAATCTTGGAAAGTTGCAGGCTGAATGGACACGGGGGAATTATTTCTGCGAAGGAGTATCTAATATTCCCTTCTCCAGCTCGCTTTTCGGGCTTCCGTGGCTCTGTGAGGGTAAACGTGACTTATCGCTTTCATGCAGTAGGTACTGCGATCGCCTTAGCTTCTGCCCCTCAGACCACGCTGTTGGAGACCCACCTGCCGTTCAGATGTGTTGCCTCTGGACGCATATGTGCTTCATTCTGCCCTTGGAATGTTGTTGTGACCTAGTCTCAACTATAAAAAAGCTGGTGACCTTGTCTCCCCCTGCTCATCAGGTGACACTGTGTTGTCTGTGACCGTGTCGGCGCTTCAGTCCGCCCTATTGTGCCAAGACTAGGTCCTACCGCCTCTCAGACGGGACTGCCACCGTCTTTCCTGCAGAAGGATAGATGTGGCTGTCTCTTTCTCCCTTCCCATGTGGTACTTGGGGACCTCCGTTACCTCAAAGAAGGGACCCAACCTTCATCTGAGGAAGTCTCCCCTTACCCCCAGGTGGTGATCTCATGACTGTCCCCCCTTTCAGGTGGTGCCACGTGTGGCCGTCTCCTGCCGTCTCTCAGATGGTGCTGTTCGTGACCTAGCCTCCTCTCTACCCCAGATGGTGCCATCAGTGACCTTGTATCCATCTTCTTCAGATGGTGTCCCTCTCTGATGGGCGTACCCTCCCCCTGTCCCAGATGATACTGTCGGTGAGCGTCTCGCCGGCGCGGGTGACGGTAAACCGCGGCGGCACGTTCCGCCTCACCTGCACGGCGCCCCGACCCGCCTCTCTGCTCTGGCTGCGGGACGGGGCACGCATCGACACCGGCCGCCACCTCTCAGTCGCGCAAGGTACGTGCTGTTAATTAGCGGCCAGCAATAAATCGTCTGGCGCGAGCCGCCACTCGACGGTGCCGCCGCTCTCCTCCTCCTGCAGGATTGAGGCGGCAGACGGCGGCCGTGTGCAGGGTCCAACGCATCGAGAAGAGAGGGAGGAGAGGACGAGAGAGAGAGAGAGAGAGAGAGAGAGAGAGAGGAGAGAGAGAGAGAGGAGAGAGAGAGAGAGAGAGAGAGGGGAAGAGAGAGAGGAGAGAGAGAGAGAGAGAGAGGAGAGAGGGAGAGAGAGAGGGAGAGAGAGAGAGTGAGAGAGGAGAGAGAGAGGAGAGAGAGAGGAGAGAGAGAGAGGAGGAGAGAGGAGAGAGAGAGAGAGAGAGGAGAGACCGAGAGCGAGACGGAGTGCAGGATTTGAAGCGAACGCTGTAGAGGAAAGTGCGACCAGACTTTAATGGGCTTTGACGGCTGATTTTACGTGAGTGCTTAGCGCGCAAGCACTTTCTAAAGGACTGGAAATGCGAGTCCTTCTGACCGCTTGATGTGCAGTAAACTGGACAAATGCGCGTGGCCGCCAAAACTGTCCTCAGGGAATGTCAAATTTCTAGTGCAAACATCTTATCTCATGTGAAGGGGGGGGGGGGGGAGGGTGGCACGGCCCACCTGGGCCTTCTCTGGATACGCAATCGATTGCAGGTATCTTGCAGTGAGGCGGCACCTTGGCGCAAGTGCTCGTGAGTTTCCAGATCGCTCTTCTCAACTCCGGCCTGGCCGTAATCCGGGGATTCATGGATGTCGTGACTCAAAAACGCCTCGAGGCGCGTTCTGACATTACCGAAAGGCTATGCTTTAATCCCACCTTGCCGGGCACGTTCACATTCTACTAATACCTTTCTCTCAGAGCCAACTCATTTCGGAGTGATGCAGACTTTCATCCAAAATCTCTTCACGACTCTCCCCTGTATCTTACCGTCCACCTTTCCTGGCACAGCCCCCCTGCTTTGCCTGGCCCTGACCTGTCGCTGCCTCTCGGCGGCAGCCTGGGCGCGCCTCTGCGACGGCCTGCATCCGAATAACGACCGTGCCCGGGCGGCGGCTTGATTAGCGCTTTGTTGCCGCCGGCGGGGAATGGTCTGCGACACGCGCTCTCTGCGGTGGGCTCTGAGGCGGGCTGGGGGTGGGTTCTGAGCCGTGGGATGGGTGAGAGTGGGATGGCTTCTAAGAGGGGGGGGGGGGGTGGCATGGGCTCTGGGGTGGGAATGGGGTGGGGGGGGGACGGAATGTTCGGGAACATCCTCAGGAGCCTCGGGAAGGGACTGGCGGCAAAGTCGGAGGTGGCGGAGACGGCATATTCCAACAGGGACGACTGAGCAGAGACGGTGCTGTCCCAACCAAAGACGATATGGGCCGAGCAGAGTCGATATGGGCCAATCAGAGATGGTGCGAGTCCAGCCAAGACGATACGGACACAGACGCAGACGGTATTGGTCCTCCTAGAGACGATGTGGACCGACCATGCCGGCCCTGACACAAGCGTTATCAGCGATGTCGTTGGTCCGACAAGAGATGGTGCGAGCCTAAGCGGAAATGCGAAATGGTACTGACTACGTCAGGGATGGTTCATAAATGCGATGAGGACCAACATCAAAGACGACGGCTGGTTCATACTGACGGAAGAGACGGCATAGAGCATAGAGACGGCATTGGCCTTGCCAAACATGGTATGGACCAGGTCGGGACGGTGCTGGCCCCTTAAGAGATACAGGTGAGGACGGTGTTGCCATGGATGTAGCCATCTTCGGGGTTGGTGAAGATCTAGAGACTTAAAGGCCGACCAGATTATTTTTTCTCCAGTTTTCCCGTATGAAATGGCACGAAGGCAGAATTGGCCCTGTTGCATTTAAAACCTGGCTGCGTCCATAGGTGTTGGCCCTGTAAGACACGATGAGCACTCAATCAGAGACGATAGGTGCATAGCGAGAGACGAATGGCCCCCTTGTGGTCAAAGATGAGAGAGTGTACGGCCCAATCAAACACGGCATAGGCCCAACCAAGCACGGCATACGGGCCTCATCAGAGGCGACTTGGGTGCAGCCGAAGGCAGCGGCGCATGGACTCTGTGGTGCGAGTGGATGGCGATCTTTGTATGTGCTTTTGACTGGCAACATTTGAGAAATCTAGCACTAGATCTGTTTATGGTCGCTACATTTATAAAAAGGCGTCGCGTGGAAGCCCAGCTATCTTGCTAACTTATGGCTTGGCCAGCGACGTTCTTGCACGTGCCTTAACGCTATTCGTTCACCACTTAGATGCCCGGGCCTAGTCTAAGTCTTGGCGTTGATATTTCCAGAAATGACAAGTGACCTGCAGGTGTCCCGGCTGGAGGGGGCTGACATGAAACAGTCGGCGCAGGGCATGTACCAGTGCTTCGCCTCCAGCAAGTTTGACTCAGTTCAGGCCGCCGTCCAGGTGCTCCTCGGAGGTGAGCGGCTGGCGTGATCTAGATCTGTCAAGGGAAATGTGGACCTGGTGAAGACTATCTGAAAGTGGCATGAGGCTCCTCAAGCCTCTTCCCCGAGCTCTTGCAGCTGATACGATTTTACGTCAGTGATCGTACCCAAATAAGATTTTGGAAACTAGGGGTAGCAGGAAATAAGGGCTCATGTGTTAATCTTTTGTTGGATGTTATTTGTCCAGGCATCAGATTCATCATGTATGGAATGTCGAGGTGCCACGTAACAGCGGTTTCAGACGTACTCAGTTGAATTCACACTCTTGTTAAGTACATGGTGGGACGCGGTATCAGCCAGGAGACCTGCCACAATTTTTTTCAGATATGCTGCCAAAGTGTATCACAACGCCACAGGCGTGATGAAACCTCTGTCACCATGCTCCCGTGCCGAAAATGCTAAGCCAGGTTCGTCAAATGTTCCTTAAGCCGATTGTTTACCAACAGACTCGCATCCCGTTCTGCTGGAGAAGTTCATCAACCACACGGTGCCGCCGTTCGCCGCCATTTCCCTCCGATGCGTCGCGAACGCCTCGCCAACGCCGCAGATCAGCTGGCTTCTGGACGGCTACCCGCTGAGCCCCGACCACAGGTGGGATTCGGGGCGGTCGTGGTCAGCATGGTGGTCCATGTTAAGTCAAGTTCGGGCCAACGCAGGTCAGCGTCGAGGAACTTCGGGCTGACACGTGGAACACGGCCGAACGCTGGGATGAGGGGACCACTTCGGCGCTGTCGATCATTATCAACGTCATCACTGCTCATCACCGGTCATCTGCGGGCTTGATCACTTACCTTTCAACTCTGTGATGTAGTTGCTGAGATGTACAGCGTGTACAGCATGTACGGCGCGTATAGTGAGGGTGTACAGCGTGTACAGCGTGTGCGGCGTGTATAGTGAGACTGTGCAGCGCGTAAAATGCATACGGCGTGTATAGTGAGGGTGTGCAGCGTGTACAGCGTGTACGGCGTGTATAGTGAGGGTGTGCAGCGTGTACAGCGTGTACGGCGTGTATAGTGAGGGTGTGCAGTGTGTACAGCGTGTACGGCGTGCGGATTGCGCTGTCGCCGGAGCTCTGCCTGCATGAACGATCCAGCGGACTGCTGTACGTCTATCGGTTTTTGCTGATATACGCGGAACGGCCATAAGAGCGACCTGACCCACTGGTCCGCCTATTTTTCTCTCCTGGTGCCACAGGCGGCTCATCGGCCAGTACGTCAGCGCCAACAATGACGTCATCAGTCACGTGAACATCAGCTCGGCAATGCCGGTGGATGGTGGATGGATCACGTGTCGCGCCGCCAACCGATTCGGAGCTGTCCAGCACGCGGCCCGCCTTAACATCTACGGTGCGTGATTCCCCCTTCATGATCGGATGAAGCATGACGACGATGTGGCAGGAACTGGGACACCAGTAACAGCAAAACATTGCACGTGGAACACGGCTGCATGTAAAGGCCGTCTTTCGAAGGGACAGTGGTTACGGCCACCCATTTTGCGTGGGAGCTCAGCTTGCATGAAGCGAAGTGTTGACTGGAAATGCATTTTGGCCTTTTTTATTTTTTTATTTCATGCTACTGTGCCCTCCGTGGCACCTTTTTAGTTGTACATGGTTGTTGTTTTGCCAGGTTTTTTGCGCTTTTGGTACTGTT